ACATGGATATAACTTTCCAATTTCTGATTTCTTACAATAACAGTCAAGGAGGTACCAATTGAAAAATGGGAACTGATTAACTAAATCCCTGATTAGCTTAGCATACATTTACTTTAGAAAATGACAAAGAATTGCTAGATCAATATTCCTATTCAATCAAATGGAAGATTATAGTGGAACAAAATTCTAATGCAATCTTATATATCATTACCTGGATCTGTAGCAGACATGAAAGAACCGAATAATAAACAGTCAGTAAAGTGAAAATCACCAGAGTTCAGCTGATTGACATGCACCAGAGCCTTTACAAAGCCATACATTATCAACCTGCAGGATTGAAAAGGAAGAAGAAAAGGCTATTGAGAACAATTAAAATATGTTTAATGATCATCTTTACACAGACTTCTCATTAAACTATGAAGTTCTACTCATTAAATTTTTATCAGTACAGTTTTTGCTTTCATTGACTTTGTCAGTCTACTTCTATTTTAGCCCTGAACTATTGAATCAATTTTTTCTAGACATTTTGGAAATAAAGGAACCCCCAAACAAATATTTTTTCACTATTATCAGTTTCCTCACTTAGATGATATATTTAGACACTTATTTTTGAGAATAATATGAAGCAAACTGAAGAAGAGATTAGTCTGTCCAAACTTATAGACCTTTCACAGGACTAGCAGAAAATGAGGTACTGTGTTGGTGACATCAGATGCCGCTAAAGCAAGGGTCCCCAACCCCAGTCCGTGGACCAGCAATAGGCTGCAGCATGCCAGAAACCGGACCACACAAACAAGCAAAGCCCCATCTGCAAGATGGAGGCAGAACATGAAACCACGTCCCCTCCGGTCTGCAGAATAATCTCTCTCCAAGGAACCAGTCCCTGGTGCCCAAAAGGTTGGGGGCCACTGCGCTAAAGGGTTTGTTTAGCAGCTTTTCAGGTTTTCTTGATTTATTTATACTAATAATACAAGTACAAGCTATAAAAGGTTAAAGCTAGGCACTAAAAAGATAGCTATTAATATTTCTGAGAACAGTCAACCAACAAGTCAGTGCTGAGCATTATATATAAATCTTGACAATTTCAGAAATATGGAAAGAGAGGATGGAAGGGAAAGTGCTTTTAACACTAATAGAAAATTTCTGCAGTTATGTTATTTGATTGATGTAAGCAATATTAACATTATTTTCTCCTGTGTTATCACTTTCTGAGTATATTTAAATCTCATAAAAGTTATTCTCTTTCTGAAGTAAATATAAATGCCTTGCACTTAAATTCTTTCTGTTGTATCCTAAGCAATTTTATAGGACCTGGCCATAACAAGTACTGCTACATTGCCAGGGCTTGTGCTCCAAAGGACCTATCATGGCAGCATACTTTGTTATGTTGCCACCAATTTCATTATTTCCATCCCTAGTCCATTCTTAGAGTCCTGACTGCCCCCCTCTAGAAAATGGAGATGTCTTATCCAATTCTGCTCTTAGTGAGTGATGTTACTGTGTTGAATCCTACCACCAACTCTCAGCTGGTTATCTACCAACTAGAATAAATTAAGTAATTATGTTGAATGAAATGAAAAATATTTTGTTATTGTGTAGTTAGAATAAGGGTGTAAGAGCACAGTGTCATCGTCCATTTTGTGGCACTCAAAGCCCTCAGAGTAAGATAGGGCCCAAATTTTAGACTCTGCATTCCACTGGGACATCTAAGACTTAATATGGTTGCCTTAAGCCTTGCATAACTTTAAAGAACCCAGTATATATCTCAAATTCTGCTCCTTTTTAATGTGAGTTGTTACACACATTGAATAGGGAAGTGGATTTGATTGTATGCTTGTAGACACCATATATGATTAAAAAAAAATATTTAGGGATAATCCTGTTTCCAGCAAATAGAATTATTCATTCTTTCATTAAGATCAGTACAATTAGCAAACATCAATCATATATATTCCTTCGCCCCCTGTTAAATCTACATGGAAACAAATTACCAGCAAAATGATTGATGTACTGCACAGTATACTTAACAGATTATTTTCTCAATTATGATTTAATTACCCAGACTGCCTGACTTCAGACAACACATGGAACCATACATTGTACTCAGCTGTATAAATTCTCAATATTGGCTTAGAGAAAGCTGAGGCATCTTCATTTATTTCACTGTATTTAATAACAAATGAAATTTAGTGTATGAGGGTGCAGTACCAAATGAAACCAGCAGCTGAATTCTCGCAGTTGAAGATAGTATTGATATCGGTATTCATTTAAAATTGCAAAGAAGAAATTTAAATTGAGTTGACATCTTTGTTTAGATCACGGGCGTCAAACTTGCCACGTCACGTGATGTGTCGCAATGTATCACAACTCTTTTTGCATTGCTGGCAATGGGGTGGGCGCAGCTTGGGTATGATGAAACTGGCCTGCGGGCCGGCAGTTTGACACCCCTGATTTATATGTTGGTCTGTTCTATGTACTGTTCAGCCACATTGAATTTTCCTTTTCCAGATCCTGAATCTATTTATCAATTGAATGTCAAGGAGAGGCATTCACCATTGTTAAATCATGTCTTCTTGTAATTGTGCTAAAACATTAATCAATCTAGTTGTACTAAAATTGTATTAAATAGGGTTTTGTGCTCTGGTAATTTTAATGCACATCTCAGTAGCTCAGTGTATTTTTTAACCCAATATAGTATCCTGCTCTTATTAGATGCCCTCAGGCTTTTCTGTTCCTAGACACGATTATCTTATAGCCTAAAGCTCCTTTACAGATGATACTGTGTGAAAACATACGCTCAAATATAATGAAATATTGGTTGTTATCTCAGAACAGAGGCAATGTAACACAATAAAACTGAGGCAATATAGGAATAGAATATTTGTTCATTCTGTACAACAAAGACAAGCAAACTCAGACTATTAGGTATATTTAGAATTTAAAGAGTGTGTCACAAAATAGCTGTGACTAGGTGGGTTACTTTTGCATCCATAAAATGGTTGTTATATTTGGGGTATCTGGTAAAAAGACATATTTACCAGAAGGCAGATTGAGATCATTCCCTGTCATCACAGGGTGTACTATAGTAGTATAACCATTTGGGGTTTTTTCCCTGGGCAAGCAGACAGACTTCCAAACAAACTATTTTGTTGCAGTAATCGATCTTTTTAATTTTTTAAGCATGTCTCCATGTTCTTCGTGGAATTCAAAGCCATGTCAGCTGCCTATTTAGTCATTATTTTAAAGAAAGGAATATTTTACTATTGCGGTAAGTTGGAGTGGCTGTGAATTGAGTTTCAATGATATCGCTGAATGGAATTACACTTCCCTGTATCACAGCTGATTTGAAATTTTGTGTTGCTCCTGCTTGATTAGGACAGCTTTTATCCATTTGGAAACCATGATTAGGACAGCTTTTATCCATTTGGTGTAACCATTAATGCTTTCCTGGCTCAGTGCACAGTCACTCAACTGACTAGCTTAAACTTGTTCAAATTGCAGCTGCTTGGATAGCCACGGGTAGACCTAAATTTGTCCATATAATTCATCTAATCCAAGAGCTATATTGACCCACAGTCTGCCTCTGAATGCAACTCAAGATATTATCACCTCTGTACCTTATATATCTCAGAGCTTTAAGATACTTGTGGGCAATAAGAAATGATTTTTTATCACATTTTCCTTATGAATAAATACCCTGTTGCCTATCCCTAACCTATATTAATAGCTTTATTTGGCAAAAGATAATTAAGCTTTTTAAAGTTGTACTTGCCAAAAGGCAATTCCTTTATTCATGAGGAGTTGAGCAAGCTCCCCCAAAGCCCTTAATTTGTTATGAGTAATTTATCTGTTCAGATATTGTGAATGCAGGTCACCAGTGCTTTAAATATCCTATAAGCTGAACCACTGTGCTTTGTTCTTAATATAATGACTTCAACCTGGTTAGGTTCTTGATTTCACCATCCTGATTGCAGTGAGGAAATACTCTAAAACACGGGTGTCAAACTCCCCATGTCACATGACATGTCATGACTTATCGCAACGTTTTTGCATTGCTGGAACTGGGGTAAGCACAGCCTCTGCATGATGCAACCGGCCCGCGGGCCGGCAGTTTGACACCTCTGCTCTAAAAAGTATAGAACTACTAGGTCTACATTGCAAAAATCTGGATGACTGTTAGATGACAGAGAATTCTTTGCTATCTTCTAATAGTTATCTGATAACCCACAGAATGGGAAGCATACCATAGCTTTCTAATAAAGAAAGTTCTAGGATCATGCAGAAAAAATTACTGAAAACTAACAGAATTATATCTCCTTTTCAGGCCTTGATTTGAATGAATGAGTGATAAGGACAATGAGTAGAGAGAGATGGATATGATATCAGGATGCTAATACTGTACTCAATCCTTACATATTTTCTGGCAACAGGGACAGACATTTCTAAACAGTTTGTATGAAGTAGCTATATTTTTTACATTAAACATTATTTGGCTTAATTTGTTCAGTATTCCTTATGAAGTTTTGTTGCATTTTAGATAAAAGTATGAAAATCAATTCACACTAGGTGAAAGTAGATTTCTGCTTACTGCATTAGAAGTTACCTGTCAATGAAGAAAAGCTAAAATGAAGAACATGGTGGTTAGGGTTAAATTTACATTAGAGATTTTATTACAGCATAACATAAAATCTGAAGAACTGCTATGAAGAATATGTTCAGTACTTAGTCTCTAAATAATTACTGAAATCTCATAATTAGCAAGACAAACGAAGCATGAAACACTATCAATCGTAGACAGTTCAAAACTTGATGTTGCTGAATTTTTCATCTTACTCCAAATCATTTGAATTTTAAATCAAGTTATCAAAGCTTACCTTAGCTCTTCATACTGCTTCCGCACATTTTTCAAAGGAGCCAATTATATATACATTAACTAAATGAACTTTTAGAAAACATTCATACAGACCAATGAATAACCTTATGAAATTAATCAGAACTTAATTTGGACTACAACTATGCTCAATCAATTAATAATGCATTTGGAAAGGCTTTCATAGAGGAAGAATAAAGAAAAAGCAAAAGAAGCTGTAAAATAAATTACCTAGAAGCTAGTGCTATTGTAACAATGTACGACAATGACTGGTGTTCATAAATGTAATAATAATAATAATAATAATAATAATAATAATAATAATAATAATAATGATGATGATGATGATGATGATGATGATGATGATGATGATGGAAGGGACCTTGGAGGTCATCGAGTCCAACCCCCTGCTCAGGCAGGAAACCCTACACCATTTCGGACAAATGGCTGTCCAGTC